CCACAACCGTATCCGAGCGGCGTGGTAGCATCTGACCCCATCGTCTCCAAATCTCGATGAGGTCGAGTGCGAGGCCCCGCCAGCGCGGTGATCGCGTCGCTCCATGAAGCAGGGTTGATCCCGTTTGTCCCAGACTCCCGGCGCCGCCCGACCGCGAGTGGGAGCGAGGTTTGGAGGCTGCCTTGCGCGAGTGATGAGGGGTTCGAGCACAGGGGGCGCCGATTCCACCGAGCTGCTCAGTGACCTGGCCCAGGACTTGTCGTCCCTGTTTTGAACCCAGGCTGCTTCTCATGATGGGGGTGAGGGGCTGGACCTCGGGGGCGGGGATGCGCTCTTGGTTGGTCGCGAAATTCGCAAGTTTCTCACTCTGGACGCGCACGATTTGGTAGGGCTCCAGAAAGCTGCAGTCCCTGGCAGACAGTTCACTCGAGAAAGGCAGGTGGCTCCAGGATACGACGTTGACACGTTGTGCCCAAGGTGCCACCAGGGCACAGAGACTCGTTCACCGAGTTTGGGAGTGCCCGTGCAATGTTGGTTTTGAAGAATTCGAGAAGAGCGAGTGGATTAGGCAGCAGGCTCAGGCGCACTGGGAAAGTTGCCCAGTGCCGTGGCTTGAGGCGCGCCGCCTAACAGCTACACCCATCTCTCGTTGTTTCTTGAAGAGAGTCTTCAGCCCTTGGAGCCGTTCCTTCTTTCCGAAGTTGAGCCGCACACCACGTTCGGGTGTGTAGTGGTTTTCGGAGATGGAGCGGGGGGGAACAACAGTGCGGACCCACGTAGGCGTAGGTGTGGCACCGCGGTGATCGCCATGCACCCTGACGGCCAGAGGGCATGGAGGTTGGCTTGGGGGCTATCGACCCCAGCCGGGGGCCAGCGGCAAACGGTCCCTCGTTTTAAGCTGCTCGCGTTTGCCATCGCGTTAGATGATGTCCCCATGCGTTTTATGTTCGTGACTGGCCACGAGCCCCTCATGAGAGCTCGGGGGCGGGGTCGGCAGTTCCAGAAAAACGGAGCCAACCAGGATTTGTGGTTTCGAGTTCGGGTGGCCTTCCAGTCTCGGTCGACAGAGGTGAACCTCAAGTGGATCCCCTCTCACATGGACGAAGCCACCTCTCGTAGCCAACCGATCGATCCCTACCTAATTCAGGGCAACGCCCTGGCTGATGAAGAGGCGGGGGCTGCGGCGGGGAGAGGGTGGGCGGCGCCGGTGGAAGGGGGCAAGCCTCAGACTGACCACTGGGATGCGATCGGCACCCTGGTTCGAGCGCGCGCGGCGCGCGCACTGGCCCTGGCGTCAGAGGCCGACCCATGGAGCGGGGTTCGGGCCTCGGTCCAACGGAGAGCACCCCCGTCGAGGAGGAAGCTCGCGCTGCAGGCCTCCAGCCACTGTTTCGAGCTGAGTGAAGGCGCGTGGAGGTGCAGCGCGTGCAATATTGTGGTGCCTGCTTCTCGCCTCATCGAGGCCGCCAAAAGACCCAGTGCCGTGGCCTCCCTGTCTGTTCGGTGGGGGCGGGAGGCGGTGGGTTGGCGGCGGGGCGGAAAGTGCACCCCAGCCACACTGTTCAGAGGTGGGAGCGGTTCGTCAGGAGTTGTTGCACCACTTGTGGTAAGTATGCTACGGTGGATGGGCGCCATTTGGCGGCCAAGTGTGAGGGCATGTCCAGGACGGGCCGAGAGAATGTAAGCCGCATCGAGGAGGGCAAGTACCCCCGTAGAGAAGAGGTACCGAGGGCCCTGCAGGCCGCCCTCGATGCGCGAGACCCCGGAAGCCTGGCGAGAGCGTACGAGAGGGCCGCAGGGCCCCAAGGAGGGGACGTTTGGACCGTCCGCCGCTGCTGGGTAGCGGAGGGCAAACTGGCCAGTAGCGGTGCGGGGGTGTGGCAGTGAGGCGGGGTTCCGCCTGCACCAAAGCACCTCTGTACGGGGTCCTGCCTTCCTCTCCCTCTCCTTCTCCCCCGCACGACTGTGCTTGGTCAAATGGTCCAAATGATCATTTGTTTTCTCCTCCTCCGCCTCCTCCTCCTCCTCCTGCTCCTCCTCCTCCTCCTCCTCCTTCTCCTCCTCCTCCTCCTCCTCCTCCTCCTGCTCCTCCTCCTCCTCCTTCTCATCCTCCTTTTTGTTCCTCCTCCTCCTCTTCCGTTCCCTCCTCCTCCTCCTCCTCCCTCCTCTCCTCCTCCTCCTCCTCATCATCAGCAGCATCAGATCTCTCTCCTCCTCCTCCTCCTCTCTCTCTCCTCGTCTCTCCTCCTCCTCCTCCTTCTCTCTCCTCCTCCTCCTCCTCCTCCTCCTCCTCCTACTCCTCCTCCTCCTCCTCCTCCTCCTCCTCCGCCTCCCTCCTCTTCTTCCAGACATGCTCGAGTCGTGAGCAGGAGTCGTATGTTTGCCTTGTTCGCCCTCCGCTGGCCGTTTTCGCCATCTGGATATTTGTCTGTCAGTTTTCGACCTCTGGGGGCCGTCGCTGGGCCCCACAGCCGCCCAGAAACGGCTCGCGATGACAAGCTGGCCCCGGGGAAGGGTTCGGGACGTCCGGGAACTGCGTAATGGAGGATGACGATTAATAAATGATTGGGGGTCCGGGATGAGGATTAGGAAAAACCGGCCGCGGGCTGGAAAACTATTTGTTGATCGTTCTCCTCCAGTCAGAAAATTATGCAGAAATAGCAGGACACTATGTTGTAATCGTTCTCTCATTTTTTAATTAATCGTCATCCCGCATTATAGAGAAAGTCCGGACATCGCATGTCTGGGGCCCCCTTCCAGCGCCCACAGCTGCAGAACAGTGTGGGTCGTGCGGAGGTGGGGCTCTCTCGGACGGCAGAGCGGCGGAATGGAATGCTGCACGGCCAGGGCGTGGAAGCGAGGATCTCTGCTTCGGCCGCATGAGGGGGCTCTGGCTCCCGTGCCGTTCCCTGGGCGTAATGGAGGATGACGATTAATCAATGACCAGGGGTCGTGTTCACGCGGCGGCGCCCGGGATGACGATCAGAAAAAACCGGCCGCGGGCTGGAAAACTATCTTTTGATCGTTCTCTTCCAGTCAGAAAATTATGCAGAAATAGCAGGACACTATGTTTTAATCGTTCTCTCCCATTTTTATTATCAATCGTCATCCCGCATTAGGTCAGGGAGTGTCTTCGTGAACGAGGCTCGCCGTGGCCAGAAGAGCCCCATTCGTTCCGCATCCTGCGCCCCTCGTCGTCGAAGACGCCATGCCACAAGCATAAGCATGTTCGAAGAAACCATGATAGACATGCCATAAACATAACATATACATAAACACAGATCTCTTGGACCTGCGCTTGACGCCACTGGAAGCGCCTCCGGCGCCGCCCTGGTCGCGCTGCGTGCGCCAGGGAAGCGGACCCAGCGCCGAGCCAAGAAGTCTGCGCGGAACGCCGAGTTCAGATTGCGCAGTTGTTGCTACTTGCTTGCTGATGACAAGGTCGCCTCTGCACCTCTCGTTTTTGTTTCTCCACCCTCGCCCCAGCTGCGTGATGGAACCGAGGCGAGCGCAGATGCCCCCCTCCCCTCGAACCCCCCCACTCGCTTCGTCGCGAGTCCGCCCTCGCGGCCACCCCTCTCTTCCCTCACCGCCAACCCAGGCCCGGGGTTGTTGTGCGTGGAGTCGTGGAGCGAAGGACGGCTCACTCCCCCGAGATCCGACGTTGCGAGCTTATCCCGGCGAGTGCTCCAACCCTGTGCAGCTGTTAGTACCGCCTTGTGGGTACCGCGTTCGGTGGATCTCCCTTTGGGGCCACGACGTAAGGTGTGTGGGTGTTCCAAATTGCCCGCGGTGGTGCCATGTAAACGCAGCCGCTGGGCCTTCGGTGGAGCACGAAGCGTGCAAGGGGCGTGCCGAAACAGGCGCGGCGGTGCCATGCGAACGCAGCCGTTGGGACCTTCGTTGGAGCTCCCTATGGGGCCACGAAACGAGTGATGGGAATGCCGACATGGGTAGGGCGGACGCATGAGAACTGCACCACGGAGGCATTATGAGGGGTGTTCCAACATAGGTCGTAGGCACGCATGCGAACTGTGCCACGGAGGTACTCGGTAAAGCTCCCTGTATGGCGACGAAGCGTATGAGGAGTGTGCCGAAATGGTCGGGGGAACGCGTGCGAGTGCGACACTCGATGGAGTTCCCTATGGGGCCAAGCACAGTGCGATGGGTTTGCCGACACGGGTCGGGCGGACGCATGCGATCTGCGCCTCGGAGGCATTCGGTGGAGCTCCCCACGGGGCCATGCAGCGTGCCAGGGGTGTGCCAGAATTTGTCGGGCGGGCGCATGCGAACCCTGCGCCACGGAGGCACCCGGCGGAACTCCCTGCGGGACCACGGTGCGTGTGAGCGCGTGAGGGGTGTGCCGAAATGTGTCGGGCGGACGCGTGCGAACTGCGCCACGGAGGCACTCGGTGGAGCTCCTCACGGGGCCACGAACCGCGTGATGGCTGTGCCGACATGGATCGGGGGGGCGCGCGCGAAGTGCACCACGGGGGCAGCCGGTGGAGCTCTCCGTGCGCCCCCGAGGCGTGATGGGGTCGGGCGGGCGCACGCGAACTGCGCCACGGAGGCACTCGGTGGAGCTCCCGATGTGGCGACGAAGCGTGTGAGGGAAGTGCCGAAATGGGTCGGGCGGACGCATGTGAACCTCGACACGGAAGCAGTCGTCGGAAGGAACAGAGGCATGCGGAGGGCAGACGCAGGGATGGGAGGCGGGAGCGGGGGAGGGCAGCGGGAGGGAGGGAAGGAAGGAAGGAGACGCGGGGCGCTGTCTCTTCAAAACCGAGGACCCAAAGACACATCGCGGTCTGGAACAATGCAACATCGTGGACAAAAATCCATTCGGAGCCCTCTGGACACCATCTTTCTGCCGTATGTCTCGAGCCGGATCGATCTGTGATGGCCCAGGGCCTGAAACCGGGCGACGGTGGCAGACAATGCCATGCCAGGATCGCACTTTACGCCACCCGTTTCTCCTCCACGCCCGCCTCGGCTGCGAGGTGCGGATCCTCCTGTGGCAGCCGCAGAGCGGCAAGAAGAAGGGCGTCCGGTGGTGGGACTTCGGCGGCCGCAAGGAGCTCTGAGCCTTCGTGGGTGCGGTCGGCCGCCAGCTCTCTGTCTCGTGTTCGTGTCTCCTTCTCCTCCTTCTCTTGTTCCTCCTCCCTCCTACTCCATCAATTTTCCTCATGCATGACTTCTCCCTGGCGCAACCCGAGGCCAGTTTTCAGGGAGGGCTGGGCGCTTCGCCAGAGACTTCCTCACCATTTCTAACCCTGAAGCGTAAACATTGGCAACGGGTTCACAGATGGAGTGCGGGTGGTTTTCACAATGTGGTCCTCGCCTGAGCGCCGCGCACATTCGTTTTTAGAGTTTGTGGGAGTCCCACGGATTGAGGGCGATTGGTTTTCAAATTGCGGCTCTAGGCTCTTTTTCAACATGTGGTTCCCGCTTTAGCACCGCGCACATTCGCTTTGAACTTTTGCCAGGGCTTCACGGATTGAGGGCGTGTGATTTTCAAAATGTGGTTCTCCTTGGCGCCGCGAGCATCCGTTTTACATGTTTGCAAGAGTTTCGCGGAGTTAGAGCGGTTCCTTTTTCAAAATGTGGTTCTCGCCTCAGTGCCACGCACACTCGCTTATACAATAATACAACAGTTCACGGAAACCCATGATCAACGCACCAGAAGTTGTGTTTAGGAATGATTCAGGATTATGGGGGGCGCAAGACTTGCGTTGATTAGCGGTCTTGAAGTCCCAGGAATAGCGTTCTGGCACGATTCAGGCTCGTCAAGACGCAACAGTCAGGTTGACCCGTGGCGTTAGAATCCCCAGAACAATGTTGTGGCATGCTTCAGGGTCTTCAAACGGTTGTCTTCCGACGAGGCAGTTCCCTCAGTGGTGATGAACCGTTGTAGGAGCTTATGAAGAGGGAGCTTGGAGGGGGGTCATTCCAACATCGTTGATGACCTCTTGGGTTTACACTGGTCCTCCTCCTCCTCCTCCTCCTCCTCCTCATCATCATCATCATCCTACTCCTCCTCCTCCTCCTCCTCCTCCTCCTCCTCCCTCTTCCTCCTGCTCTTGCTCCCCCTCCTGCTCCTTCTCTTTCCTCCTCCTCCTGCTCCTCCCTTCATTTTCCTCTTCCCTCCTCCTCCTCCTGCTCCTCCTCCTCCTCCTCCTCCTCCTCCTCCTCCTCCTCCCTTCATTTTCCGCTTCCCTCCTCCTCCTCCTCCTCCTCCTCTTCCTCCTCCTCCTCCGCCCTTCATTTTCCGCTTCCCTCCTCCTCCTCCTCCTCCTCTTCCTCCTCCTCTTTCTTCTTCTCCTCCTCCCTCCTCCTCCTCCCTCCTGTTCTGCTGGCAGGGGCAGCGAGAGGCACGGCGGACCACACCAGCGACGACTGCGAAACAGCGCAGGGGATCGTTCTCGAGTTTTCTCCGGGCAGTGGGCGCCTGCCAAGCCTTACGTCGGGCCTGTCCCCCTACAGGAGGAATATGCAAACATTGAAGCAAAATAGTCTGGGAACGATGTTTTATTATTTTGAGCTATTTTTGAATGTTCTTGACTATCTTTAATTTGTCGCCCAAAATCCGGCTGTAGGGGGACAGGCCCGACCCAGACCTAGCGTTCTCTACCAGGGTGAATATTTGGACGATGCGCGACCTCGTTTTCAATAGGGTGCGTGGGTCTCCACCTCTCCTTCCACCCCCCCCCCCATCCTGCCTCCTCCTGCGCCGCTTCCTGGATAGCTGCGAACTTCGCAAGTGTCGCGGCTTCCGCGGGCTCCTGGATGGTCCAGCGGTGTCGGGGAGTACGCGGACCCAGCCGAGACCTCGCTGCGCCGTGGGTGGCTGCGAACTGCGCCATCTTCTCCACTTTTTGTGGGCTCCTGGGAGGCACGGCGGAGTCGTGGAGCACGCGGTTCCAGCCGAGACCTCGCAGCTCCTTGGACGGTTGCGAAATGCGCCATTGTCGCCACTTTCGTGGGTATGGCGGAGTCGTGGAGTACGCGGTTCCAGCCGGGACCTCGCAGCTCCTTCGGTGGCTGCGAACTGCGCAATTGTCTCCACTTTTTGTGGGATCCTGGGAGGCACGGCGGAGTCATGGAGTACACGGTTCCAGCCGAGACCTCGCAGCTCCTTGGGTGGTTGCGAACTGCGCAACTGTCTCCAATTTCGTGGGATCTTGGGAGGCACGGCGGAGTAACGCGGAGTGGACGGCGGACGGAATACGAACAGATACAGTCGGCCCAGATTAGTAGGTCGACCTTGCCAAATCAAGGGTGCCTTTGTGTCCTGCGTTTTGCGACCCATGCCTTCTGCATTCATACGGCAATGTGGCCCTCGGAAGGGTCTTGTGTCCTGTCGCTTATCCTCTTCAACCAAGCTCGACTGGATTGCCGAGCTGTGGCAGCCATGTGGCATACGAGTGGAAGAAATCTGCACCGTCTCGTTCGTTCTGCCCGCTCGAATACATGTATCTCATTGCCTCGAGGCTTCCATTGCAAAGGAGCAGATCTCTGGCCGACGAGACACGCACGGGCGCGCATTTTGGCGCGTCGAAGTGGTCGTGGCCGTTCCCCACCACCCCGCCGTCCGAGGCGCCCCCCGCTTCCTGCCACGGGGGATGGGGGGGGGGGCGCTGCTGCGCCCGCCCCTCTCCCTGCCTTCTGTTGCATCCCCCCTTCCCCTCTTCCCCGCCCTGCCCCCTGCCCCGTCCGTCTCGTCTAGATCAGATCTCGTCTCACGAACCTCTGAGGTGGGCGGACGAGTGGACGGGGGGGGGAGGTGGGTGGGGAGGGATGGGCCCCTGCTAATGTTCTTCGTGCAGCCAGGCACTTTACAGGGCAAAGAGCGGGCCCCTTCCTCATCGTCGTATTCCTTCTGGTGGTAGGTAGGTTCACAGTGCGATTTCTGGAATACCCGTGAGTGTGCTACCAGTGAGCTCGTTTCTTGAAGCCCCTTCGGTTCCGCTCCTCTCTCTCTCTCTCTCCTTCCCTCTTTCTTTCTCTCTCTCTCTCTCTTTCTCTCTCTCGCTCTCTGAAACACACACACTCTCTCTCTCTCTCTCTCTGTTTCTCTCTCTCTCTCTCTGTTCCTCTCCCTCTCTATCGCTCCCTCTCTCTATCTCTTAAACACTCTCTGTCTCTCTCTTTCTCTCTCCCCGCCGGTGCGAAGGAGCACCGCACCGAGTTCACAAGCGCGTGCGCGTGTCGGAAGTTCGCGAGTCAGACCTACGGGATGTTCGGCTGCGATCTTTCCCTGGGAGCGGCGGGGGCACATTCACATGGGCCAAAGGGTGGGACCTTCTGTCGGGGATTGGAATAGATTCAGAGTGGATTAAGTAGATTCCCGCTTGGGAAAGTTGTACCGTCTGAGGGTCATCACAGAAACATGGATATGACATCGGTGGTGGTGCCAATCATGAGGTTCATGATGGTGATGATGGTCCGCCGCAGCGATCACAGCGAGTCCCACAGTGGCGATGGTTACGATGATGCTGACGACGATGGCGACTATGATGATGATGACGATGCCGATGATGGTGATGGTAATGGTGATGATGGTGGTGTCGCCAGTGATGGTGATGATGGCGATGATGATGATGATGATGATGATGATGATGATGATGATGATGATGATGATGATGATGCTGATGCTGATGCTGATGCTGATGCTGATGCTGATGCTGATGATGCTGATGATGCTGATGATGCTGATGATGGTAATGATGGTAATGATGACGATGACGACGATGATGATGATGATGATGATGATGATGATGATGCTGATGCTGATGCTGATGCTGATGGTGATGGTGATGCTGATGGTGATGCTGATGGTGATGATGATGATGGTGATGCTGAGGAGGAGGAGGAGGAGGAGGAGGAGGATGCGCCAGAAATGGAATTAGCTACCACAGCACGCCCTACGGCGGCATGCGCGACGATGCTTGGGGGGCAGGCGACGACCTCAGCCCCCTCGGCGAGCTGTACCAGGGGCTCGCGAACCTGCCACTGATGCTGAAGGCGAGCCAGGAGCGATACCTGTTGCAGCCCGAGAGGGGCCCAGTGGTATGATGCTCCAACCTACTTTAGCTTTGATCACCAGTACCGAAACTCAAGGGTTTTCACGTGTCGGGCCCTGGGAGACACTCGCCCGACACTGTTTCGACACTCTTTTGACACTTTTCCGGGTGCTCGAAATGATTTCTGGGATGCGGTCCTTAAGCAGGATGGGAACAACATAAGCCCAGTAGCGAGAAACGCGTGGCACGACGTGGGAGAGACCCGTAGCGGAAGGAGGGCGGGGCGGGAAGGAGGGTCGGCGAATACAGGGGGTGTGGTTACGCCGGGGTGTGGTTTGCGATCGGCGCCGTTGGGGCCTGGCGGTCACGACACCGTCCTCTTCGAGCCTCCTCGGGGCGCGGGGGAGCTCCATCGAGGTCCCCGCGCGCCCCCTGGGGTGCCCCCCAGGATGTTCCCCAGGGTGGCGGCTGCACACCACACCCTCTGCAAGCCACACCCTCTGGAGTCGCCAGGAGGGGGCCGAAGAGGGGAGGGGCGGCAGCGCGACCCGGCAGAGCCCGGGACCTGGCGGTGGGCCCAAGGCAGCCGCCTGTTACTTCATGAGCCACGCGAGGATGATCAGCCACGCGCAGAGGGGGGAAAAAACACACACTGTGGAACGAAAATGCACAAAAAAACAAAACACACACACACACACACACACTGTGGGAAAACACACACACTGTGGGAAAAAAAACATACAAAAAACACAAGGAAAAACACACACAAACACACACGGGAAAAAAAGCACAGTGTGTTTTTTCCCCACAGTGTTGTTTTTCCCACGGACTCTTCCCACAGTGTGTGTTTTTTTTCCCACGGGGGAGTGGGGAAGGCTTCTCAGAAGCAGCCTTGCTTCTCAGAAGGCGCGGGCCTTATCTGCAGATACAGGGCCGCCGCCTTCCAAGAAGCAGCCTCCCTCTAAGAGGCCCTCCCCCCTCCCTCCACCCCCTTGTGCGCGCCGCCAAGGTGAGGAGGAGGCTGGCTGGCGACCCCTTCGCTGATGCCGTGGGGCGTGCCA